TAATTTTGCATTATATTATATATGAAGCAGTACACTGGAACTCTAAACAATGTCTTTTTATAGCTAAATGTTGGTCCAACTTTTCCATTCCTTCTGTATAACTGAATCCTTTCTATTTTTTTTAAAAAAGCTACTTCACCTGTAACTTTAAATGAAGATTTTAAATCAAGCTTGTCAGTAGTTAATAAAATACAGGTCAGTATTAAATTCCTAGGAAAATTTGGGTATTACTCAGTTTAAAGTTACAATGTATTACCTTTTATGTGTGTATTTTTAAATTTTTCTCTTTCAAAGTTTTTATCACTGGTGAATGTTTCTTTGGGAGAATTTGTATGTAGCTGCACACATATGATTAAGAAAACCAACTTAAAGTTCAAAGCTTTGAACTTCTTGGCAAATAATAGAGTTGTATAGAATGAGTACGTGGATGGGTTAAGTCTTGAAAAAGATAATTTCCCTCATCTTTAAATCTCCAGTTTTGCAGCTTTTCATATTATTTCTAATTCTGCACTTGATTGTTAGCAATTCCAGCCACTAAGCTGATCAATTTCCTTCCACAGTTCTCCCCCTACTGGAATACTGACTCATGACAGTCTGTAAGGTACAGTATTTTACTACAGAGAGCACAGTTTAGGAGGGGCCTTGCCTGCCATACCCCATATGCAGAGTATAGCCCTGGCTCTGTTTGGAGAAGAAAGAGGGAAAGAGAGAGATGTGGTCAGAGGAGGGAGAGGGGATAAGAACACAGGCTCAGCCAATTTTAGGGGGGAATAAAGAAATCAAAGTCAATGCTTTCTAATTCGGTAGACTTGAATTTCTTGTTACTCAAATGAAGGCAGTCCTTTGGGGTTGATAATGAAGAATCTGTTACCGGCCCTGTAACTTGCACAGATAAATATACTATAGTTGCTGGCTTTCAAGTTTATTAAAATGTTGTATTGGGGTCAGTGTTTTTCCTTAAATAGAAAGGCTGGTTGTATGGGGTCTTGCATCTAAGAAAATTTTTTGGAAAGTTTCAGCCACTTTACATTAAACTCAATTTAAAACCTAGGAAGATCAACTTTTTTTTCCTACTTAGTGATGCCTTTGGTATTTGAACAAAGCATTTTATAAGTGAATCTGTCGTGGAAAGAATCATTCTTGTTACGAGAGACCTTGTTACTCTTGGCACCTACTGGGTACATCCCTAAATTTGGATGGTGAAGTAAGGCCATATTTTAAATACATCCCTGGAAGGGATGAAATGCTCAGGACTTGGCAGAGTTTCACTTCTGACAGCCTAGTTCTTAAGCCACAAACAATCTAAGTGGTAGTTACTACAGCTTTCCATAAGAGCATTTTGATGAATTAAATGTCTTCCCCTACTTCTTATTCATCTCATGTCCTCAGCAAAATTGTTATATTGTGTTTACCCTGATGCCTAGCACAGTGCCTGGTACGTGGGAGGAAGTCCAGAACCATTTGACAACTTGAGTCATTACAAAACATACCGCGTATCTGGAGATCCTAAAGATCCTCAGAGCTACCTGACATCATTAGAGGTGCACTGACGAAACTGATTGATGGAACGTATGAAAGGCACACTGCTATATTAAAATAATTACATGAATATTTACATGAATATTGGGTCATTTTAAAAATATTTTTTAGTGTAAAGAGGGTTATTTAGGTAAGAAGTCATCCTCTTTATTACGGCCTTGTAGGTAGGTAAAACAAAGTGTTTGAGTTTCTGATGTACTGTTGTTTATAGACAGTACACTTTATGTAAGGAACTCAGTTAAAATGTTGCCCGAATTGAGCATCAGAGTACTGTACTTTCTTGGTTAGCATTTTTGACTTTGTTGGTGACACATTCAAACCTTCGGGAAACCGAGACCAATTATGGATATAAGAAACTGCCTGATCAAGAAGGGTTAAGACTTGTGGATAAAGAGAGTGTGGTAAAATGCTATAGCTGAAGAGCTTGGTAGGCAGATGTCAAGAATTTCCTGCCATTCTCTTAGTCCTCACATCTTCATTTATGTGATAATAAATTTCTCAGATAAGAATTGATCTGAATTGCTTGGTTTGACATAGGAACCTTATTTATAGTGTCATTTTGTGTTAAACGTTATACCAAGTGGTTTCCATGGATCTTTTCATGTAATTCCCAGAAGTCTGGCTTTAACTCCCTTTTAAACTGTAGTGGACATACGTTAGGTAACTTTCTCAGGTTACACAGCTTACAAGAAGAGCCAGTATATGAACCCAGAAAGACTTCCTAGGGACTTACCCCAGAGCACTCCCTCATTTTCCTTGTCTGTAAATTCTAATGCAACTTCTACCGTATGCTATTGTGAATATTGAGACAATGCAATAAGGTACCAATAGCAATGCTAGTAAGTGCTTAATAATTCATAACTACTATTAGTAGTAATTTATCTTAATAATTGCCATCAATGCTAACAGAATACTTAGTATTTTTCATTTTAAGCCCTCTTTTTTCTTTATTAAATCAATCAAAAATTTTGAAGGAAAAAAAAAGTAGCAAGCTGGAATAAGGACCGAAGTTGAAGTATTATACAAATTGCCATATTGACCCCCATTGGCTAGAAGCCATATTAATGAATCTTGAAGTATTTTTGCATTTAAAAAGGGGGAAATTAAGCAGTGTCTTGAGGAAGTGGGACTGTACTTCATGTTTGCCAGCCTTCCCCTTATTTTCCTTCTCACCCTGTCCTCTCAAGGGCTCTTCTCAGCAGCCACACTCCCTTGGTATCCATATAGTTGGGTGTACTTAAGCTTTTCTTTTTAATGGCGACTCCAAATGCAATTAAACTTCATATTTTCAATTATCTTGGATGGAATTACAAAATTCAAAGCAATTCATAAACTATGTATTTCAATCAAGGAAAACAAATTGGATGTTTTTATGTACAGTTTTTCAGTATTTGGTAAGAATGAAAAATTTAAGTCTGCAATAGGGCCATCCAAGATTGAGGTCCTGTGTTAAGAGTTAGGAACCCTATTGTTACCAGAGGAAATTAGATATTTTACCCATGCATTTTTCTCATTGGTGCTCTCACTAGGTTAAAGCTTTAGAAGTGATTTTTAATAATTTCAATCATTGCTACTATTTTTGGTTATTTTGTTTTTACTACTTCTTGGATAAGGACAGGAAGCATCCATAGTTTAACTTTTTGAAACTTATGTTTGCATGCAACCCAGAAGAAATTTACACTTATTTCTAAATATTTTTAAAATAAAAAAATTCATATATTTTTTCCTGAAACTTTCAAATTTTGAACCTAAAATTTAAAATAAACCCCTTCCACAAGAGCCGTGTGTTGAATTTAGGTGCAATAACATTTCCTTGTTAATTTTTATTTACTTAAACATTTTGTTTCTGCAAGTTGGACTTTGTTTCTTTAGCAGAGAAACTGGCCACCACTATCACACCAGATATCCTAGATAAAAAACATGAATAAACCTTCCTTCCTACATAAAGAAAGTACCTGTGAGCTAGCAGCCAAAACGCACTTGTCAAGGGAGTGCTGATGTTACTGCTATGTGAAACATGATCAAAATCCTTGTTTGTCTCAGGCTTCAGATTTTCACATCTTCACATGCTCTAGTTTATTAAGTAGCCTTTTACCATTTTATCACTGAAGCAAAAACTTCGGGTTCTGTGTGTGTGGTTTGGAGGGGTTCTAAATGTGGGTCAGTGCTTAATTTAGTGAACTAAATCTGACAAAAAACAGTATCTTCTAAACACATTTTCTAGGAATGCTGTACATTGCCCTAAACCCTGGGTTCCAGCCCTGAGTAAGTAAAGAGGGAGAGACTAATAACTCGAATTAAAAATGAATCAGATTTTAAAATAGCAAGATTTTTAAAAATTTTTATTTTGGGGGTGAATGAATCATTTCTAGGAGCAATAGAAGGGAAATAGAGAAATTCGGAGTAGTGTCTCCAAAACATGTCAACGAATTCGCCTCAGTCTCTCTCTCTCTCTCTCTCTCTCTCTCTCTCTCTCTCTCTCTCTCTCTCTCTCTCTCTCTCTCTCTCTCTCCCCTCCCCTCCCTCCCCTTCCTCCTCCTTTCATGGTCTTCTCTTTGCCGGACAAGTCCAGGGTCCCCAGGCGCCCACCGTAACCTCTAGTGGTGGATCTTCGACAGACACACCTGGAACGTCACCTGGGCTGCATTTCCTTGCCTGCCAGTGGTTTCGTGCGCACCAGGCATCCACTCGGCAGTGTCTTCCCATTCATGCTTTTTTTTTTTTTTTTTTTTTTTTTTTTTGACAGCTGCTTGGCCGCCCCTGAGCGGAGACTTTAGCGCTCCCAGCACCAGTCCCTGCAGCCCCCTGGGCGGGAGGGCCCGACAGTGACGACACTTGGAGGTGCCCCGGGGTCCACCACCCGGCTCCTCCATAGGTAGCTGCGTTTCCGACTGAGCCCTGGCTCCACTCCGGGGGCTTGACGTGCAAACTTCGCCGGAGCGAGCTGAGAGGGAGGGACCGGCGAGGGGGAGGAGGCGGCGGGAGGCGCCTCCGCTTAAGGGAGCCGGCCGGGTGCCGCCGTTTGGACGGACGCGCGGACGGAAGGAAGGAGCGGGGCCGCCAGGCCCGGGCTGGGGATGCGAGCGGCCTCAGGGTGGGCAGTCGAAGGCCGGGGATGCGTTTCAGGTCCTCCCGCCTAGGGCAGCGGTGCTGGGGCGCGGGACGGGCGCCGCTACGGGTGCCGGCCTCCATGCCTGGTCTCCCGGCAGAGGCCGCCGGCGTCTCGTCCCCTCCCCCGAGGGGCCACGGGAGTCGAAAGCGAAAGCGAGCCCGGGCCGCGGACTTTGCGCCCCGGGCGGGCGGGAGGGGTGGCCGGGGAGGAGGCGGGCTGGGCGGCCTGGGGGCGCTGTCAGCGCGCCCCACCCGGCCCACCGGCCGCGCACGCTGCCGGAACTCCCCGGCGCCTCCTTAAAAGCGGCCCCCGCGCGACTCTTTTTTCCCCCTTTTTTGTTACATTGTAGGAGCGGAAAGAATGTCGGAGCGGGCCGCGGATGACGTCAGGGGGGAGCCGCGCCGAGTGGCGGCGGCGGCGGCGGCGGCGGGCGGATCAGCGGCCGCGGCCGCCCGGCAGCAACAGCAGCAGCCGCCGCCGCCGCCGCCGCCGCAGCAGCAGCCACCGCCGCCCCAGCGGCAGCAGCAGCCACCGCGGCGCCCGCGGCCGGAGGACAGCGGCCCCGGCGCCGCCTCCTCCTCGGCCGCCGCTGCAATGGCGACCGTCGGAGAGCGCAGGCCCTTGCCCAGTCCCGAAGCGATGCTGGGACAGTCGTGGAATCTGTGGGTTGAGGCTTCCAAACTTCCTGGGAAGGATGGTGAGTGTCCACGCCCTCCGTTTCCCCACGCCCCGCGTTCCCCTGTCCTCTGGCCCGTCATCTCCCCTCCCCCATCCTGTGACCGGCCCCCTCGGGGTCGGAGATGCTATCTCTTGGTTGGGTGAGGCAGAGGTGCCCGCACCTACTCCGTGCTTGCGTGAGCCTACGTCACACTCCCAGCCACTGACCTGCCTCTCCCCTCCTCCTGTGTGTGTGTATCTCCTAGGGACGGAATTGGACGAAAGTTGCAAGGAGTTTGGGAAAAACCGCGAAGTCATGGGGCTCTGTCGCGAAGGTGAGTCCAGCCCACTGAAGGAGTTTGTGCAAGCCCCAGAGAAGTTTCTTTGCCGGCTTCATCTGGGCAGGGAACTCTGGCCCACCTTACCCACTCTTCCCTGCCACCCGAGAATGCTGCCATAGGAGGAGGAAGAAGCAGAGAAACGGATGGAGCATTTGGAAAATCTGGTTTCCGGGTGCCTCTCGTGATGGGGAGCGTTCTGGAACCCTCCAGTGGAGGCCTGGCTGGTGCCGCGTGCGTGCTCATGATGAGCGCTGGCCACCTGCAGTTAGTTCAGGTCTGACCCCTTATGGAGAAACACCAGTGCAGGAAGGAATTCTCCACTTCTGAAAGCATTTCCGCAAATGCTTTAAGGGGCTCTGGAAAGGAAACTTTGCCACCTGAAATTTTCTTCTGGAAGTCAAAATGAATTTTGAACTTTAGAAAAGATGACGCTTTACTTCTGCAGTCTTATTGCGGAATTTAAGTTACAAGGGTTCAACAGGATCATCACACCTGAGGAGCAGCTGGTCAGATGTCTTTGTGAGCTGCCAAGATTGGGGGGGCGGGGGGGGGGAGAACGGGGAGGTGCCTATGGTGAAATAAGCCTATAGTGTCCTAAAGGTGAAATCAGAGTCTAATTAGTGGTCAATTTTTAATAAAACTGTTTGGAATAAGGATAATCTAGCGAAATATTTGTAGTTGAAGGTGTGTTTCTCAGTGAAAGGTTAGCTATATAAATGTCAGGCTTTCCTACAGATTTTCTTTTTCCTCGAATAGTCACCTTTGCTGTCTTAATGCCTGTGGCAGGCCTGGCCACACTGGTCTGGAAAGACTTCTGGAGACCAGTAGACTTTAGGTTCAGTTCAAGTTATTTTTTTCAGTGGTACTATGGACAAGGCCTTGAGTGAAATTTGGTATACAAAATATTTTTATATTCTCCTATGCAATTTTATTTCTCACATGCAGCCATTTATTTTGGTATATTGTCCAGGGCCCCAAAATAGGTAGAGCTTTGGCAACTAGAACATACTAAAGTCCAGAGTTGGCCCTTTGTTATTGTCTTCACATTCACTAATTTGGTTTTTTGAATTGTCCACTTGTTGGCCTTTTGGCACCAAGAAAAAGAGTAATTCCATTGGCAGCTCTTTGAGAGCTTCCAGTTGGAACAGATTAGCAAATCAGTTGATTTTGACGAGAATATTTGTTTGCAAGCAAAGGAAAAAGAGGGAAAGCACAAGACTTGATGGTGATGTTGCAATAGGAAAAGTCAGTTGTTAGTCTGGTTTTAGTGTTGAGCTGGCAACTTGCCTGGGCTTAAAAAATTAAAATCACTAAGTGGCAACTCTCGTAGGAAGCAGTTGGAGTAGAGCTTTAGAGGACCTGACCCACTCTTGTTTTTAGTTTTCATTCTCTGGATGTGGATACATTTCCCATAAAGGGTTTCTAAATCTGTGTGGAAACAGCATCTTAATTATTGGTAATTTCCCTATAAAGGATGAGTAAGAGTATTAGTGTTTCACTGGGCAACTTACTCGGTCTGGACTGAGACTGAATTTAGTGACCTCGACCCTGTTTCTGTTGTATTTGTTATTGTCTGCTGGGACATAATCAGCAGGATTTACCATGAAGATTTAAGACTTCTTAATTATCTTCTTGATGCACAAAGTGGTAATAGATTTGGTTGTATATCCTTCTGACCTATCCAATTATTAGTGATTGCTAAGGGTGTCTTTTTTTTCAACTGCTCTAACTATATAGGGGATGCCCAAGTGGCCAGCTCATATAAAACTCTGCTACTTGTCTGGAGTGGAAACTGAAGTTTTTAATTCAGTCAGTTCTGGGTTCATTTGTGACAGTTTTCTGGGACAGTTTTAAAAATCCATTCATGAGAAGGTTCAACACTCATGCAGTGGGCCTTTGTTTTTGTAACAAAGAGCTTATGTCAGGCTGCTTAAGGAATGAAAATATATTTTAAAGTTACCAAAAATTATTAGACAGTTGTCCTTTGTTTTTTGTTATAAGTATTTCCTACCAAGAAAAGCTATTATGGAATTACATCCATACTAAATTCCATCTGTCAGTAGAGTTAAATTGAGAAGAAATATATAGATAACTGGATTATATGAACAAAGTACTAAAAGTCAGGATCTCTCCGTCTTGGAGGATGTCTATGAATGTGGCCTAGATTTCTTGACTTTTCTAATTTATGATTGAGAACTTAAGGTTAGAAACCTGGGTTCTAACCTTAAGTTCTTAAGGTTATAAAGTTAGAACTTAAGGAGGATGCTTAACCTTGAATTAGTTTTCACCTTTCAGAATCTAGCTTTCTCTCTTTGTAAAAGGAGATGATAATACTTACTTCCCAAGGTTGTTGTAGGGGTTGAAATTAAATTAGGTAATGTGTTGAAAATCACTCTACATGCTTCTTTCAGCCCTTTCAACTGCCGATGACATGAGACCTGATTTCCTAATTTGATATCTATCTAGGTCAGGGATTTTTAACCTGGGATTTGAATGGGCTTCAGGAGGTCATAGTCCCCCTGAAATTGTATGAAAAATTGTATATATTTCCACTCTCTAGGATAAGTGTCCAAAGCTTCTCTTGGATTCTCAAGATGCTTTACATTCTGTACCCCCTAAATTCAAAACTGCTAACCTGGGATCTCTTCCCCCCCCCCCCCTTTTTTCTTTTTCCTCTTGCCACTTACCTTGGCCAGTTTCCTCATGGCAAGACTACCCAATGGTTAATGCCATGGGAGAGGTGGGAATTATTGATTTTATATGGAAGTGAGATTATTTGTGGTTTAGCTGCTATATCATTTCCTTTTCCTACTAGCCCAATAGGTAAATGTTAGAATAAAATTTCACTTACCTTTCAGAGATCAGCCTCTTTTTAAATCTGCATCCCCATGCTTTTATTGCCTTGTTTTCTTCTGTAATTTGTAGCATGAGTGGATTACACAGTTGATTTTGGTGGGAAAAAATTGATAATATATTTGACTTCTTCCAAATGACTAAACCTAGAAGATTAATTACCTTTCTTTCCAAGTGATTGTCTAGGGTTTACAGAATTATGTTTTGATGAAATTGATTGGTGTAAGATTAAGGTTTCCATATTAGTGCTTGAACGTATAGGGAGCCTTTAAAAATTAAAACATTAAATGCCCTAATTTCATGGTAGTTTAAAAAAATTATATGGTGTCCTTGTGGAGTCAACAGTGTAACTGGAAAACGTTTTCTTTGGGATGCCACCCCTAACTGCTCTTAATCCTGTTGTGCAATATCAAAGTAGCCTGTGCTTTTCCTTTCTCCATACAATTTACCTATCCCTATGTGAAAGCATGATGGCCTTTCATTAGAGTGTAAGCTCACATAGGACAGGAGCATGGCTGACATATACAAGGTGAGGCAAAAGTATGTTTATAAGTTATTTGCATGGAAAATAATACAATAATTAATAATGCAAAAGTAAACTGGTATACTCAACAACTGTAAACCTACTTTTGTCCTACCCTGTATTTAGCTTTTGCACACTGTTTATGCTCAATAAATATTTGCCCAAAAAATAAATTAATTAGGCTATCAGGAATGTTGAATTGGGGCACTCAAACGTGTTCAAGTGGCCAATTTTCCATTTTGTTGTGACTCTTAAAAAAATACAAAGCTACCTATTCCGTCCAGAGGTGTGCTTTATGGCCCCAGGGGAGGCCAGAGGTTTTCTTTCAGCACTTCCTCTTGCTCTCTCTTGTCTTGAGTTTAGCACTCCATTTACACTTTCCAGAAAGAGTGCAGACAAGACAGGACATCACCTCTGTTATCTCTGATATTTAGGCAAGAGCGTTCGATGGCAACCCAGGATGATGTCCACACTTAATGACAGATGATTTTTTCTTCATAATAACAGAGACACAGTTGAGCCTAGGGCAAGATGGAAAAGAGGCTGGTTGACACCCACAGGCAGCTGGGTTTAAAAAAAAACAGATTAGGGAGGTAGGTAAACTCAATTAACACAGACTAAGTTAATATAACAGTACCCCCTTTTTCTTTCCTAGGTAAAAAAGAAAAAGTTCATAGTTAATGAAAACAAATAGGTGTTTGTGTGAAGTACTGTTAAAGTAACTACATCACAGGTGTAAAACCCTCTCCCTGAGGCTAAGAGCATTTCTACTTTTCTCTAGGACTTCTCTTATGTTTTCCCCTCAGTTTTGGGGGGCAGGGGGTATGGACAATTCGAAATATACAAAAGTAGAGAAAATATTTTAATGAGCCAGCCTCCTTGAATCCATCATACAGCCTAAACAACCGAGACATTGCCCAGTCTTGTTTCATCTCTACACAGCTCCCCACACTGAATTAGTTGGAAGCATGTCCCAGACATCATATCATTTCTCTTGGTTTTCTTTCTTATGCTTCCGTGGACTTCAGCTTTTTTCCTACAAAATGAAGCCGTAAAGTGCTCTGCACCCTATTTTGAAACAAGCCAGGCTTCTGTTTCTTAAGTCTCCGGTGAGTGTGTGAGGGTTTGGCAGGTGACAGTACTTACAGTCTGCCTACATCTCAAGTAGAGTTTGAATCTAAGCCAGAGACCGGAATCTGTGAGTTCCATGTTAACTGCATCAGAATCACATTAATACACATTTAAGAAGCACTTAGGTGATTCACTTGCAGGTTGCCCACACTCTTTAAGGCTTCAGTGACAGGAGTCAGCATCCTTGCTGACTCTTCCTGTAGGCAACTCCCAGGACACCTAGAGAGAAACCCCTAACAGCAGGAAGTGTTTCTTTTGATTGTGGCACCTTAGCTATTTTAATGCAAACTACAGCCTGTGGGCCAAATCCTGCCAGCAGACTAAGAATGGTTTTTACGTTGTTGAATGGTTTAAGTAAAAAATCAAAAGAAGATGACTATTTTATAATGTGAAAAATATGAAATTCAGATGTGTCCATAAGGAAAATTTCATTGGAACATAGCTACATCCATTCATTTGCTTATTGTCTTGGCTTGCTTATTCCCAT